GGGAGAGCTTTGCAGACAGTTAGCCAGCTGAGAAAGGTCACATAATGCCATTAGTTAAGCTTGAAAGAGACAAGTGTAAGAGTCAGTAGTCAGCATCCAGTAACAAGCAAAACCACTGTGCCCTTAGTGCAACAGTAAGATAGGAAAGAATATCTTTAGCAAGAATACGAAAAAAAATATTTCAATAAAATATCCACAAAAATACAAAAGTAAGCGTAGTTACCTAATAAATAACTAGCCAGTAGTGAGCTCGCCTTTACAATACGTATACAATTCATTAACACTAACACAATAAAGTTCAAAATTTACTAATCACTCGTATTACGTGCCAACAGTTTGTCACTGCTTTGTCACCCCTCCCATGGGTGCCACCCCACTCCCCCTCTTTGCCCCAGCTTCTCTCCCTCATTAGCAGTAATTAAGCTGCTGTGGAGGGTTCTCCTTGGCTTCCTCAGAGCTCCATTCCAGGCCTGTTCACACTCTGCTGTCACGCTGTTGTGCGACACTGGATTTGTGCTGCGGGTTTAAGGGGTTTGGATGATATTTGGGGGTTAAAATCGAGGTGTTTTGGTGGTGGTTTTGGGGTGCTGACCCCGTGGCCCTGCCCTGCAGGTCTGGGAGCAGCTCCAGGATGGGGGGGATCTCACCTGAGGAGCTTTGGGAGCAATGCTGGGTGGTGGGGGTGTGAATTTGGTGTTTTGGGGGGCTTACAGGGGTTTGGATGATGTTTGTGGGTTTGTGGGCTAAAATAGAGGTGGTTTGGGGCTGGTTTTGGGGTGCTGACCCTGTACCCTGCCCTGCAGGTCTGGGAGCAGCTCCAGGATGGGGGGATCTTACCTGAGGAGCTTTGGGAACAATACTGGGTGGTGAATTTGGTGTTTTGGGGAGCTTGCTGTGGGTTTGCATGGGCTCAGATGATGTTTGTGGGTTTGTGGGTTAAAATAGGGCTGGTTTTGGGGTGCTGACCCTTTGCCCTGCCCTGAGGGTCTGGGGGCAGCTCCAGGATGGGGGGGGATCTCACCTGAGGAGCTTTGGGAGCCATGCTGGGTGGTGGGGGTGTGAATTTGGTGTTTTGGGGGGCTTACAGGGGTTTGGATGATATTTGTGGGTTTGTGGGCTAAAATAGGGGTGGTTTGGTGCTGCTTTTGGGGTGCTGACCCTTTGCCTGCTCCAGGATGGGGGGATCTCACCTGAGGAGCTTTGGGAGCAATGCTGGGTGGTGAATTTGGTGTTTTGGGGAGCTTGCTGTGGGTTTGCATGGGCTCCCATGATGTATGTAGGTTTGTGGGCTAAAAGCAGGGGTTGTGTGGTGCTGCTTTTGGGGTGCTGTCCCCATGGCTGTGCCCTGCAGGGGTTTGGATGATGTTTGTGGGTTTGTGGGTTAAAATCGGGGTGTTTTGGTGCTGCTTTTGGGGTGCTGACCCCATGGCCGTGCTCTGTGGGTCTGGCAGCAGCTCCACACGCTGCTGTGACACTGTGTGGTCACACCCCTGAGCCTCGGCTTCCTGCCCTGGCTGCTTTCCAGGGCCGACACGGGCTGTGCCTGCAGACAAAGCCACCCCCAAACCCCACATCCTGCAGCCACAGGGATCCCCCTGGG